TATCATATGAAAAACATAGTACAAATTATTGTAGAAGAAAGGTAGAAAATTACTCCTAGTGTGTTTGCTTCCACTATCGTAGTAGTAAGGAGAGGAATTCCAATATTTTCGCAAATTTATAGTCGAGTTTAGTGGGTTTTACAGTGAAGTTGAAGAGATGTAAATGGGAAGAAAATTACTTAATTTCAAATGGAAAATAGGGTTTTACAGTGTTGAATGTAGGTGAAATGAGGGAAAATTGACTGATTTTAGAGTTAAAAATTGAAGGACAATATTGTCACTTTAACAATTAAAATATTTTGAATATTTTTTTTCCTTTTAATATGGGTCAAAGGCTATTTATCCAATATCATTGGGTAACCAAGCTCTTATGCCAAATTTCCCAATTTTAAAGGAATTGAATTCCTTTCTGGGAATCCTAATTGGACAAAAACGGGTAGTTGATTGCAAATAAAAAAAGGGAAAACGCCACTGACACACATGAACAGACGACAGAAGCAATAAGAAAATAATTCCAGAATTTTAAATTCGATCGATAATTTGTGCAAGAATTTTAGGAAATTAATCGTGTTCCATCAATTTATTAGTGATACTGATGTCTTCTAACTTTTATTTGTTTAAGTCCAATATTATGAGTAGCTAAGGATTTTTAGTGCTAGGATTACGATGAATCTTGTATTATGAATCTTTAACTCTTTATTTTATTTCTTTTTTGACATTCAAAACACGTTTTCGATTCTTGAATCATTGACATGATTTTATTCTTTACTACAATTATATGCGCAATAGTTGTATGAGTGTTATGGCTTGTTTTACTTTCGAAAGATTAAAAAATAAGTTAGATATAATGTCAATTGTTGTAAAGTCCATTAGAAAATAAAAATATACCGCTATATTCTATGTGATCTTTAAGTATTTATAAATTCTTAATGCATTCTTATATGTTCGTATTCCTCATAAAAATATAGCTGGATCACATGTGAGGGTATATTTAATTCTACTTGAGAGAGATTGTCAAACAATAGGATTATTCATCTTCATAATTGAATCATGCTTTCAAATTGTAAGGTCCAAAGTTAAAGTGGAATGATATAAGTGGATTCGGGATCGTAGTAGGTTTTTCATCATCATATTCTCATCACACTTGTATTAATAAAAAATTTACGTTAATTTTCGTTAACTTAAATCTTGTATTCATGAGTTAATTAGTTAGTAATAATTTAGTTATAAAAAAATCACCAATTTCCATAGTTTTGGTTAAGGCTAAGTTAATTTGAATTTAAACTTGTACAATCTCTGTGGATACGATACATGGACTCAAAATCCATTTTACTACTTGTTAACAAACCATGCACTTGTTGTATTTCAAACAAACAAATAATTTCGTAGACAGTAGATCTTTCTGCTGATTTCTCCTTCTCTTTGGTTTTCTATTGCTATTTTTTCGATTTATATGCTGCTTTACTATATATCATTCACATCTTAACTGAGCTTGTTTGGCCGGAAGGAAGGCAGAACAAAAGATAGTATGAACCCGAGCCCAGTATCTTTACAAACAAAGCAAATTAGACCTCCATTTCCTTTCTTTACTACGTAAGTGTTGCAGCAGTGATGTCCTTCTTCAGTTTGCTCTTAAGACTCCAGCAATCAGTGTGTGTGTGCATAAAATGGTGAAATAGTGTCTTGTGCAGTTGAGTCGAGGGTCAATCAACTTACCTCATAAGCTGGAAAGTCAGTTTTTGTAAGGATAAATTAGTCATTTTGTTAATTTTTACTTGAGAAGGAAGTCTGGCATTTGCTGATTCTTTAGAGAGATCGAATAAAACAAACAAGTCCTTCAATTAATCAAAGCTTATAATTAGAGATTATTTCATTACTCCACAAGTCTATAGTTGTTGAATTTGTTTATTGTTTAAGCAATAATTTAAGATTGGCTATATGAATTTTTGCTGCCCATTCTTCTAGAGAGCCTCTCTTAATACATGAACAAGAACAGGCATGTAATAGTCATTATATGACAAATTTTGATAAAACCAAACTTGTTCTATTGATATTGATCGAAATAATAGTCCATCATGTATAAAGAACAGAGATAGGCAATCAGTTTCACACCAAAAGCCTATCGTTTTTACACAAACCACAGCGAGTAAAAAATGTATCATCATTCTATGCTAATAGTCCCGAAATGCCAATTCAGAAAATAAGATACAAACAGTATCTCAATATTTCAACGGCAGAGAGGCCAACAGGAGAAGCAAGAAAACCATCTCATCTCGGAGGCTTTAGGTGTTGCATTAGAAGGTTTTGAATCCAATTGTGGTTTTTCAGATTCCTTTAATACCGACTTCAACGGCCCAGTTTTCACTCTGTCTTTTACCAATCTGTGACGAAAGAAAAAACATGGGTCAGCAAAGAGTAATTCTTGAAAACTTAATGCAGAAAAAGAAATAATATTGTAGGAACATTTTCTTCACCTTGAAGACTAACATTTTTCATTGTCAAAATGAGGACAAAGCTAAAATGGTGTGTATGATCAGGAGGATTTGATAGTACAGGACAGAAAAGGAAGGTATAAACATGAATATTGTAGATATGTGCTTAACAAAATCTAAATAGAGAATTTTTAATGGAAACTGGTGGTAATCCAATAGACTCTAAAGCAACTTCACCTAGACACCTTCAGTTGAAAGCCCATGTGGGTTTATCCAACCTGAATTGAATGGAAATGGGTGGTTTTGGAGGGAGGAGTCGGAAATTGAATTTGAAACTTAACCTCCCATAACCCATAACTTCCAAATACCTCCCACTACACCAAAACTATCAAGGAAGCATGCAAAATTCGTGTGGGAAAAGAGAATGAAAAACACACAAGGATTGTGGCTTGATTTTGTAATATCTACATCTCTAAAGTGGTACTTGGGTTGTGGCTATCAAACTTCTTCCATTCTGATCGAGTTTTTTACCAGAAAGTGAGTGTAAGGCAGTGTGGAAAGCAAGCAATCAAAGGCGAGTAATTGAGCCTCGTTTTGGGGATTTCAGTAAGTTTTAAGACCCCAAGCTCCATTAGAAGCATGACATTACGATTTACACCTTCAAAGACTAACAAAACCAAACTATATTCATTTCATCACGGATTAGCCAGTAATAATTTTAAATATCATTCATTGTTAAATCAGATAATATTTTTAACGGCACAAAAGACTTTAAAAGAAGAACTTACACTGGGAAAGCAAATGAGATGCTGCTGTTTCCACTGTCATCAGAAGGACGAGAGGGACTCGATGGAGAATGAGTTGATATTTTACCATCCGATACATTAGAAACACTAAGTGGGAGATGAATTTCTTCAGTCATAGTTGTTTTTTCCTTTACTTGATCTTCTACAGTTTCTGTTGGGACTACCTTCGGGATTAAACTGCAATCTTCTTTTCCTACTCTAGAAGTCTCCCCTAATTTTGCACAATTTTCTTCGTCTGCTGGTACTTCAATGAGCGGGGGAAGGCTGGAAGGGGAGCTGTTCAACTCACCAGATTTGGTTTCAGGAACGTATGGAAGATTTGATGGTGCATTGTTCAATTCTTCAAGCCGTGGAAATTCTCCAGACTTGCCAAACATAGCATAATCTCTAGAGAAACTGTTATTTCCCATATGAATGCTAAACAGTGACTCGTTCGAAGCAACACTCCACTCCATATTTCCTGTTCTTTTGGTTGAAAATATAGATGCTGGAATCCTATTTAGATCACAACCCGTGGGACGCCCCATGTTTTGAACTGGAGGAGATTTCGTTGTACTGAAAGCATTCCAGTCCGGATTCTGAGAAGACAATTCTTGCGATAGAAGAAGTGGGCTTCCAGCACGTGGAGATGCGCTTATCATGCTCCACTGAGGTGTCTGAGAGACATCTGATGATGATAAGTATTCTGGTTCTGATGAAAGAGCTCCCTCTTGCTCGGATTTGGCAGAGGAATCATCATGAACGCCATTGCCAAATTCCAAACCAGAAGAAGAAGAAGATGATGAACAA